GGGCGGGATGATAAGGATAGGGTACCTTGACGAGCAATTGATTCCGCGCTTCATTGCAAGGCTATATTTTACTGGTCCCGTTACTTTGGGTGACTATACGCTTCGAAGAGCAAACTGTTGAGACCGAACATGCAAGTGTACAAAAATTTGCGGCCCCTTGCTTTTCAGAGCCAGCATATAAATTTTCCAAAATGGCCGCTAGTGAGACATGAAGGAGCACTTGGTGCGTCGAATATATGGGCACATGCACACATCGAAACCTTGCTTTGGATGACGCCACAAGTAAGTGGCATTAACACTCGTGCTGTAGATTTGGAAAATTTTTTTTCCATGACGAACGAAGTAGAGGTGATTTAAGTGTTCATTCTCGCTCCCTCTTGCAGGTGCACTATACCAAAAAAGGTGCTACTGTGTTCTTCCATTTTGAAACCAACTCGGTTGCTGCTGTTGCTGTACAGGTGCGATGGAACAGTGTGTGAATACGAGTGCAAAGGGGTACCATGAAAGGCCTTCTTTCGAAGTGAAGTAATTTTGAAGGAGTCTTCGGGTTTTCGAACGAGTTACGGTCATTTAAGACAAGCCAAGGCCCAGCTGCCATCCTAACAGGGTTTTGGAATACCGTCAAAACTGCAATCGGTTAGGTATACGACTCTAATAAAGTGGCGTATTTTCCGGTCACAAAAAAATTCAGGAGCATGACTTTGATTGGCTAAAAAGGATGTATGCTCTCAAAGGTATCTGTCAGTCTCTCCCTCGCTCTCTCTCTCTCTCTCGGGTAGGATAGGATAAATGATGAGATAAGCATAAACAAGATACTAGCAGATATAATGGGGACTTATACTCGATGTTCATATCAACCAGTCGCCGATTTAACCGACTGCTCGTTTATGACAGTGCCTCCTGTCCCTTTTTGACAATGAGGACGTCAAAAAGTTGGGATAAAATTTGCTCTAACAATCTACTCCACCGCAATTATCAGAAGCGTTCAATAGCCTCCCCGGCAGACAGCCCCTGCTACCTTTGATCACAGAAAAATGCAAAATACGACTGATAACGCCTTCTACAAGTCTGCCTACCCAAGTTTCTTTGTAGTACTCCGAATGCGAAGCATCATCTTCCGTAGAAACAATGCGGCTATCGAACTTAGTACAATTCCGAGATGTGCACTGGTAAAGGGTGAATGTGTACGTCACAAGTCCTTCGGTTTAATCTACCTTACTGGCGTGGACTTACCTTCATTTGTAAAGATGTTTTATATGCCCTGGCAGGACACCGGTACGGAAACGCCCGTAATACATCGGTGGCTTCGTGCCAACTCCCGCCGAAATTGATTGCTACAGTTACGGTTAGTATGAAGATTAAGGTTAGTGCTCATTTTCGGGTTAGAGCTGAATTTTAGATTAGGGTAAGGCAAAAAACATTACCAACAAAGAAAAGGGAGACTGGAATTGCCGTTTCTGGCGGATAAGCCATCGTCAGCCGAGCATCTCCAACCGCAGGTGTTGCAGCACCCGAGGCTCGAACCCGCAACCAGATTGTCAGAAGTCCAACGCCCTAACCATTGAGCTACGGTCTCGTTTTCTTCTCTTTCGTGGTCAGGTACATTA